AGTCTATACATGTACAATATATTCTCGTGTTCTTGGGATAAAGATGCCTCATTATCTGACACATTTGTTAGATACTGAGATATTTAACTTAAACAAAATGTAAAATCAATGTTAAATTCACAACCAAGCTTTGATAACCGAAATGAGTTAAACTAGCTTTTAAATCGTTATCTTCCCTTACTTATGCAGCAATATACTTTCATCAATTTAGTCGACATCTCTCCGTTGAATCGGTATGCGAGAGCATGCTATACATGTACCTATGGACAATTTTTTAACGAGGTAAACTAATGGCAAGCAAGTTCATATCCAACTTAGATTTTTTTGTTTTATGAAGATTTGAGGATACCTACAAAGATGATTACCACGAAATGTAAGATTTTTATAAGCATTACTTATCAACAATCCTCTAACAACAAAATCAAATCTAATAAAATTGATAAAAAAATTCAAATCTCAAATATTTGCGTCGCCTGCATTGTCAATTGTTAGAGATTCTGTCCTAGAGTCCACAAAAGGGCTTGATCCTTACGTCACCAGTTTAAATTCTACTTTGGGATGTGTGGACCGGTCCTTCTTATGAAACCGTATTATCCGAGTTTCCGTGTCGCCGTAGGTGCTCGCACGAAAATAGACCCCCTATCAGAGCATATGACAAAATTTGCAGCTCTCCGCCTGCAAGTTGTGGCCTTTCCATATGAGATTAAAATTTTAGAGAGAGACCATACAACATACAATCAATCAAGCTACTTCAAAATCTCATATATTCGAGGGTTCAAATTTTTGCGGTTTAAAGAAAAAAATGTGAGTTCGTGGGGATTTGATTTCGTGGATTAAGAATTGTTTAGTAGTAATATCTGTGATAAATTGCAAACCATGGTGGAGATAAATACCTTGTACCTCGAAAACCACAAACATAAAACCCTCACGGAAATTACTTATTTAACAGTATTTCAGATTGTTCAACCTAAAATTATTGCAATATAACAAATACAACACAATGTATCCTCTAGAAAGAAAGTTGGAAAAAACAGTCTTTAGTTCAATTTAATAATCTCTGGATATCAGGACAAGAAGTTTAAAGCAACATTCAGGGTTAGCATCGGCAAGCGATGGACAAAAAAAGCATTGACCTACGTAAAACGTACTAAAATCAGAAAATCAGTAAAAAATAAAAACAAAGAAAAAAGTTTATAATTTTTTTAAAATTATTTATACATAAAGAAACTTACTGAAAGGAAAAAGAAACGCAAGGTAAACATCATGGGTAAATGGAATTTAATTTTCTTATTCATTTTTGTCAGTATTCTTTTGTTACTTACAAATTGGTCTTTGAAGAAAATGTAACCGAAATTCCATTTGAATTTGTCTTATAATTTATGAGTTATAGAAACTCATATTAGCATACCCCCCAAAAAAAGTGAATATAGAAAACTCTCATGATCTATCAAATACCTCCTCCGTGCAACTGTCACAGCCTTAATTACCCTTTGAATTGGAATTTATCAGAATGATAATCTTTCAAACTCTGGTTAAACTGGGCACGGGTGACAACACTGAAATATTAGTTAACATACACGTGAATGCGCCAGATGTATCAGAGTTGAGACTCAGCGTCCAAGATTTCCTCACAAAACCTGACTTATTCGTTTCATATCATGAATTCAATAATCTGTGAAATATATTTCATGCTCAGTATAGTAATGCACGAACCTCTTTTTTCAGCATTTAACATCCCCAGTGCTTACATTTATCTTTTTTATCTCTCTAAAATTATGATTTCTTTAATCTGTTGCCTAAGGTTTGATGTTAATGTGGTTTATGATTTTAAACGTTTTCATAAAATTTCACCCATAACTATTTGTTACTAGTACTTTTTGCTCTATCAGTGATGTATTCTCAAAAGATGTAACCATATTTGACATTAGCCAGAAATTCGTGCGTATTTTCGCTTTATCTGTGATGTTTTTTTTTATTTTTCTTCTGGTTTATAAATATCCTCATTCATAATATCACTGTCGATGTTATATTGTTAATTTCTTCAACATCATATATTATACTTTTGGGAAAATTCTACAATAGCTGTATTTAACTCCTAAACATATTGCAGTTCAGTTTTGAGTGGGATTCACTTATCGGAACAATTTAAGAAAAATGAAACAACAGTAATTTTCACGATACACTTCTTTTGCATGTATTTATTTGATAAATTCAAATTAGTTTTGAAACAAAATTTGTTTTTAGAAAAAATTTCGTGGCATCTCCTACCTTCGTTTTTTCCCTTAATATATTCTTATTATTTTTCTTTATTTAATGTTGTTGTAGAAAAACTTAATCTCCCACCTTATCAGTATAACTATTTAGTCAAAGAGGGGTAAAATTTTTTAGCTTGAACTTTAAACGGTTATTTTTATACCTTCATCACCTGCATACGGTGTGTATATATCCCAGTTGATTCGATATGTAAGAAAATTTTCTACTTACATACCATTTCTAAAACAGGGTAAATTATTGACAAACAAATTGATGAAACAAGAATATCAACATTCTTTTAAATGTCATCATTTCGTAAGTTCTATGATCGATACAATGGCCTTGTCAGCGAGTATAATTTATCTCTGAGTCAAATGCTGACTGACTTGTTCATACTAATTGTTAGTCTATTATTTATACACTGAATTGATGACTGTTTTTTCCCGTTGTTTCTTGACAAGAAGCAAACATCGGGTATGACCTGTCAGTAGGGGATGCTCATTCCTCCATGGCACCTGATCCCATTTCTGATGTTTCAAAGATCCGTGTTTTTTCTGCTCCTAATTTATATTATTTTATGGACTTTGATATTCAATAGTGTTCGTTATCTTCATATCCTTCTTTTGTGTTTTTATGTCTACAGACGGGTCAATGCTAAAACGTTTGGAAATTTTTGTGTTATTTAAGGAATGAAGCTTATTTAAATTTATATTATACGATATAACATAATTTGGGGCACTTACCGCTTTATAAACCGCGACGCGTAAACTGCCCCAAATTTTATTATATTGTATAATATATGTTGAAATAAGCTTCACTCTTTATAATTCAATTTAAGTGCAGACAATGAGATAATTTTGCACCCAGAATAAGGCTTCACATTCATTAGATTTTAAAAGTAACGTCAGTAATTTAAGGTAGGAAAGTTATGTTATGTAAATTTTTTATCCAACCAAATGACGTGTTACAAGTAAAATAAAATTGTTCATCTACAAGAATTTCTTTTACGGAGGTTCAATGAAAGCTTATTGTCGCAAATGTAGTAATGGAATCCTCTCTGTTGAAATCATCGAAATGGCAAAGGAAGTGGTGGGTTTTTTTTTTCTTTCACCATCAAGTTTTAAATATAAACAACTAAGTAACAGGTAATACAATCATTGTTTCGACTTTTTTGCATTATTTGTAAAAAAGTAACAAACAACAACGAAAAGTAATGTATGATTTCAATATAAGATGTGTGTTTTCAAATCTCAGCTCACGTGACACAAATATCAGAAACGTTGGTAGCACAGTGTTTTAGGAAAATTTCAGCTGAGGCAGAAATTTAAGATTTGATGTTGATATTTTATTTAATTTTCCATAGGTTGATGGTTCCAAAGGCAGGGCTCCAAACAACCTATTGGAATTTCCAAGGAAACCAATCTGGCAAACATATTTTCATATAAAGCAGAATTAATTCGTACATTTAAAAAAAACGTATCAGACAGATTTGATTCTATAGGATGGGGATTTTAATTTGAAAAACTTGTTGGAATTAACATTCGATTTACAGGCAAGTTTCAAGGTGTACAAATGACAGCTTATGCGCAGTATAACATTAGTAGAGTCTAAGTATGACAATATAAATCCTGTTTTGATCAATCAACACTTGTAGCTGGTAGCGTTTCGATGTCAATTTAAGACTCTAGTTCAGCATTCGAAAACATTCCTTGGACAAATTTCAACATCTATAAAGGAACTTCTCAAGGCCTACATCCGTAACCGACGCTCAGAAGGACTGTGGCATACATGTATGGGGTATAAATGACTTGAAGCGTCTACTTTATGGAACTCTTTTCCATTTTACTTGAGAAAAGTGTAACTCAATTGGAATTTTTAAGAAAATTCTTTCTTTTTAGAAAAGGAATATGTTATAAACTGTTGGAATTATAAACTTTTAAATTGTTATCATCTGTTTCGTACTTTATGGAACATTGGACACCTAAATATTTATTTCATATATTTTTCTTTAATTTTTTCGACAATAGCTGGTTTATTTGCACATTAAAGTTTGATATATATGGTAACTGGAATACATAGATTTAGTTCAGGGTGTGAAAGACTTTTATCATAGAGAGTTTTGGGAAATTCTTAAACTATGTGTTTTCCATGGCCAGCTCATGCATACAATATCAAGTCATAGCAGAAATTGATTCTTAATAACGTTTGAGCGTTTCCATATAGATGAAATATTCTATAGATGGAAAAACAACATACAAACAAACACATTTAACAAGTTATATGACGTTCTAATTTTTAACTGATATGGAGACGCCACAACTTGCCGGTGGAGAGCTGGAAAGTTTGTCTATAATTCGGCAATTAAAACCATTGAGAAGGGAGGCACCTATTGAGACACAAAACCTCGGTTTATACGGTCTCATCCAAAGGACGGGTATCAACGTCCCACAGTGGGATTCGAACCCGCAACATAGGGATCGGCTCCTTACTTTGCGACTCAAGAGAAAACACTTAAAAACACTGAACCACCCCGTTGACACTTTGTATTGTAAGCATTATAATAAACACAATTAAGAGTAATTTTAAAAAAAATACGAATTGTATAATTCCTGCTAAATAAAATATGTTTCATTTAATCATTTTAAAGAGTTTATTTGTAGAGAAACATACATTTCATTAAATTTTTATTTGGTACTTTATTAGGTTTCATTATTAATTATATTCCATCGTTCAAAAACATATTTTACCTTAGATCATGATGGTCCCTCGGTTCCAAATCCTTACTTCCCATGATATTCTTTAAAAAAAAATCAATTGATAACGATAAATGCAAATATTATAGAAATTAAATAAACATCATATTTTCAAAGTCCGTAAAGATATTAATTTCAATCTTGACTTAAAAATCATTATCAAATACAGTTACGCTAATAAACAAATGAATGAATTAGAATAAACTTACTGATTTCTTTTGTTTAATTTAATTATTTTTGTTTGTTTGTTGTTGTTGTTGTTGTTGCAGTTTCGTGTGTATGTTAGGGTTTGTGAGGGAGGACGTTATTGAAGGTGTGGCAATTTTTTTTCTTTTAAATATTGCCAAATATTAATAATTGATTCATGCTCTTGTTCAAGCTCTGTGTAAATCAATAAAGAAAATCCAAAAACCTGTTTCAGAAATAGATCACGATCTCTCCAGTCGATCCCTCCGTCTACGACACCTACAGTAATTCCTGTGCCATTGATGCATTCCTGCCATGCTGGCACAACATTCATATCGTAGTTAAAAGGAGGATATTTTCTCTGTACATTAGAATATGCATTTTATCAAAATCTCCATTTTGAAAAAAAAGAAAGTATTATCAAAATATGTACATATCATAGCCATCTGGAGGTATAGGTATTAAGTATATTTTCTAGTTTGACAAAAATGTTTATTTTAACCTTATCTTTGTTCATTTTAAAATTATTTCAAAATACACTTTGAATAACTCAAAGTTGACATTGAAAATATGGGGTTTTACGGGGAAACTTTTTTAAGGTCATACGACACTTCCTCTAATATATATATTAGTTCATTCTATTTTAAATTCAATGCCAATTTCCTTCTATTTTATAATGAAAAAATCTTATAAAATAAGAAAAGTTATATTTGTATTAAATTATTACGTCATAATATCACTTACGCTAAACTTCAGAGAAACGTGTACCACGCTAAAAGGTGCTTGCAGGGAAATGGTAAATTTGTATTTCTATGACGCAAACATTAAGTGCATGTTGCATAACATTTAAGTGAGTTCTAAAGAGTTAAGGAACGTCTTGTCTGACCTTCAGTTTAAAGTTTCTTTTATAAAGTCCCCCAGCAAACTATTAGCATTCCCATGTGTTAATTCATCTCTGTTACAATTATAAGCAGACTTATTTCTGCATTCATATGAAGTAAAATATATTTAAAAACGTTACATTATGTGAAAGAAAAAAATCCTTTAAGGAAATCTAAAACTTACCAGTTCCATCTGTTAGGAAATTTGTACTTTTTTGTCAATACGAATCAGACACAAAAATTTTAACATGAAAAAAAAACAGACACTTGCTGTGGCCTCCAATTCGAAATTTAGGGATTTTTTAATGTCTTTTTTTGTTTTAAAAGGGTTAAATCAGAAGTGGATACCTAAAAAAACATTCAAGGTTCTGTTTGAAATTGGAATTCACAAAGTTTTACGATAGCTACTCAATAAACAATTGTAAATTTTAAACTTAATAGCACGCTTAAGTACGATCAATTTTTAAAGCGAGACAAGACCGTTCACGGTAGCCTAGTGGTCGGGAGGCCCGGGTTCGATTCTCGTTCCCGGCGCCGCGTCAAACCTAAGACGTAAAAAAAGGTAGTGACTGTTCCTTCGCCAAGCGCTTGGCATCAGAAGTAAAAGTCATGGGTCATTCTGATATGATCTTAAAAACGTAGGTCCCGTGTCACGGCAGGCGCTGGCACGATAAAGAACCCTCACTGCTCTATGGCCCTGAGTGCCGAGTATAGGTCTAAGTTTGAAGCCTTTCACTGGCATACGGTGACGTCACTATATGAGTGAAAAATTCTAGAGAGGGACGTTAAACAATATACAATCAATCAATAAAATCGAGACAAGGCAACAAGATAAAGAAGGTACATTTATTAACAGTTTCGTTTGATGCAATCGTTTTGCGACTCCTTTGCCTATACAATTATCTCATCGACAAATACAGTCTATTTATGGTTCAGATATTGACTAATTTTTTTGATAATAATTTTAGACAACTATTTGCACACTGAAATTTTAAGATTTTTTTATGTTAATCTGATCATGACTAGTATTCGATATTTCTCAGTGGATTCGATACGCAAGAGCATGCTCTACGTACAAACAATTTCTAAAACGATGTAAAGCATTGAAAAACAAGTTGATGAAAGAAGAATATCAGCAGTCTCGTTTAATGTTATCATTTCGTAAGTTCTGTGGTAGACACAATGACCTTTTCAGCAAATGAAATTTATCATTATTTCAAATGCCAACTGACGTTTTTCGTACAAATTAAATTGTAAGTCCATTATCCAAAAATCCGAATTTACGATTGATTTTTCTGTTTATAATTTTCTGATCATGACAAGGAGCACACGTTAGGTGTTTCCGGTCGGCAGGGGATACTCCTCCATTGCACCTGATCCCACGTCTGATGTTTCGAAGGTCCGTGTTTGTTCTGCTCCTATATTGTTTTGTTTTATGGACTTTGACATTGAGTACCGTGCGTTAAATCAATATACTTCTTTCAACGCATTTTAATGCATTCGTTTGAATGTTTGTTCGTTTACATACTTTGTATGTTCAATATATAGTGAGTAGTATTAATTAAAAGTATCGGCTCTAGTATTCCAGTACTTCGTTTTATTATGATTCAAAACAATAAAGTAACCAATAATCTAATTATTATTTAAAAGCATTTGATACAAGTGGTTTCAGAAGTGGGATAACTAGGTCTTCCAACAAAAATATGAAATGTGAATAATGAAAAGTTCCTTTAAAAAAACATAAATTCATAACAAAAACGTTTTGTCAGAAAATGTTATCTAAGATATTGGAAATAGTAATTTGAATTTCAAATAAATTCTTCATGAAAATATGCAAAAACATGCCTTACTTGTTCAATGGGTTTCATAAAGCTTTTTTAAACGTTCACAAAGACAATCTTTTCTCACTTTTCAATTAGTCTGATACTGATTTTTAATAAGGTCAGAAATAATTTCTAACGGCAAATAATTATTATTTGGTCCAGCATAGTTTTTTAACCTATTTCGAGTATGCTAAATCCAAAAAAAATATGCTGGTCTTCATGAAAATGGCGTTCAAGAGGTCAAAATGGCGATTCGAAATGGCGGACATAATTTTTTTTTCTAATTTTCTCTTAATGTCGTTCAAAATGGGGAATTTATGAGTGAATATGTAACTGAGTGTAATAAAACTATATAAAAAAATATAACATTTTTAGTTTAACTCAGAAAATTTAGTCGTTTTTACACTTAATTCGAATTTTCTCTGATATTTTTGTCTATTGTTTCTATATTCTTCTTTGTTCATGATTTTACATTTGCAAATATCCACACACTGCAGATTTGTAATTTTCTCTCTTCATCTCACTATTCTACAATTGAATGTTGGTGCATTTGTACGTTAAAAGTCAAAATGGCGATTTAAAATGGCGGATATTCTTCTTTTTCTTCAAATTATTTAATTCTTAAAATAGTTTACATAGGAAAAAGAATTTGTGAATATCTTACTGCGCATAGTACAACTATGTAAATGAAAGTGGAACACTAATTTGATCACTTTAAATCGGAAAATTTAGTCGTTTAAATTTGAAATGTATTAATTAGCTCCAAATGGCATTTCAAATAACGTCTTATTTAGTCACTCTATTTTCGTGAAATACCCAAACTGCTTAATTCTGGTTAATTATGCATAAAATAAATTAGTTTGTTTTTTTAGTCATGAATAATATTCAAATATGCAGTGAAGTTGGATGATATTTTTGTTAATAATTTAGGATTTTCATAACACGGTTTTTTGTTTAATTACTTCTATTGTTAAGATAAAGAATGGGTGGACTTAACTGGCCAGGAAAAATGCCGTAAATTTAAGTTTCATAAAATCTTTATTTTCTTCCATCATATAAACCCCCGATATCTTAACCGTGTATTCATGGTACGGACGTGAATTTGAAACGGTCTTTTCGAAGTAAACTAAATAAATATCGAAGGCATGGTGCCTGAAGATTTCTTGAATATCAATAGATAATCAGGGTCACGCGTTTTTCATCGTCTGAATACATAGTCAGCGCATGTTTGTCGGCTGTTCTTACGAAAACTGTAGTTGTATATTGAACAAAATAATGTTATATTTAAAGGAGAAGTGCCGACAAACGTGCGCTCACACTAAATTTTACAAAAAACATGTTCAAAATAAACTTCTAGCTTCCATTGTTATGACTGCGATTGACCTGTTAAATATTACAATTCATCACGTGATGTCCACCTGCGAGTTTACTTGTGAAAACAGTTGCATTGTATTCTTCAACCTGACCTCGATCTAAATCATGTCTTTGAGAGTGTTTTGTTGCCGTTTTCAGAATTTAGCAAAATAAATATTGTTTTAATTTTGCGTGTCATCACATTTTGAAAATAATTTCATATTGATATTGCTGTAATATGCTAAACACGTATTCGAATTTCTGGAGAGAGAAAGAGAGATGTCAACAATGACGCCGATCGATAGCCCCACCTCCTATAAATATTGATTGTGTGACATAAAAACCATGTCGAATTCCGGAAGACGACTCTCCTGTATCGTTGCTTCAATGTTGATACATGACAACAGGGCATTGTTTTTGCAATATGTTCCACCTAATATAACCAAGTATAAGTAGCTCTTTCCATTGCTCGTAATATATGTGGGATTCACTTCATTTTCAGCTTGGTAGAGGAGTCGCAAAAAGATCCAAAATAGGGAGTTAAGTCCACCCATTCTTTTTGACGACAATTCCGAAGACATTCTATCTATTACCTGTCTCACCATATTTCTTCATAAAAAGTTAATAATATCATACAATAATTGCTGTTTTGAGGACAATATGAAAATTAAACTACCCTAAGAGCAGTATTCCCTGAGCATTAAGGCGAGTGAACATTCAGTTGTTGGAAATTCTTGATCTATTTTTAGTCCAGTGTAGAAAAAAATAAATGTTTATTTTTATGTGGAAGGTCTTGTGCAACATAACTTAGTATGATTTTTTTTAAAATGATTTACCACGACCAATTAGAAGGCTAGTAATTATTATATCATATAAATCTGAATATATTGTAATATCCAAATAAAAAAATATTCATTAAGAATTATCAGTATAACATACGTAAACCATAATTTTTCTTGATTGTCCAGCTCTGATTCCGTGTCCTTACATTTGCATTATGTTATTCTCAGTCAAAAATTAAACTGCATTCTCAAATATTTCATGATATGAACGGATAATTTTGTATTGATTGAACAGTGCATATAAATTTGAAAATTTTGAAATTTACAAAATCTGAAAGAACAAAATGTGTTCAACCCCCCCCTCGATTCTTGATACAACCTTACACTATCCTAACAAAGAAGTGTGGATCAAGTTGCCTTGTAAAGTTCTTGAAGTGTTCAAGAAAATTTTGTCAAGAGAAGTCTTGACTAGATCGAAATCAAGAATGGCTAAGGCCTATTGGTACGTAAGCTTGACGTAAA